AAAACACACAATTATACACCAATATACTCTATTCAGGGTTGTATACAAAACACACAATTATACACCAATATACTCTTTTCAGGGTTGTATACAAAACACAATTGCAATTTTATCCATGGTCAGCCTATTAACACGTGGGAGGAGTAGTAATAGGGCCTTGTTAACATTCTATAATGACGTATTTGGGAAGCTCTAGAAATAGTTATTTCGTAAAAAAACTAAATATATTTACATATAAAAAGATTACTGTGATTGTCAACAATTATTAAAAATGTATTTAAACTTAGCCTGTTCTACTCAATATTTCAAAAATTCAAACAATTGCAAAAATGTCAATACTTTATTTAAACTTTTAACGCGTTTCAAATTTCCCGATCTTCATTGTGCATTGTGCATGTAGTTTGCACAATGCAAGGATTCATATTACAAGAAGGGGAAATATGGTTAAAAATAAAACTAACAATATTAATTATAATAATAATAATAATAATAACAATAATAATAATAATAATAATAATAATAATAATAATAATAAAAACCTGGCATCCATTAAACTGTTTGGAGTCCACTTTAAAGTCAGTACTTCTCCGTCCTGGAATTTGAATAATTAAATCTGGATTTCGCACCAGGCCTTAATTAGCCTAGACACATTCCATAAACTCATTTATACTGGCTTAAATTGTATTTTTACCTTGCTATTTATTATGAGTGTGAGTAGTGGAAATAAAATAGATTGTCAAGTACAATAGATGGCGTACACTCTCAGTATCTTCGTCACAATTCAATTCAATTTCAATGTCGTTTTTTTTTTCATTTGAAACTTGTGACGTCGAGCATAATTGGTCTATTTCCATCTATTCTACTTGAAAAATAAAAAAATTTAATTGTAGGAGGGGGGGGGGGAGATAAATCTTTCTTGATGATTGATTTAAAAATGCATGAAGAAGTAACCTGATGGAGAGAGAGGTAGCCAGGAAGCCCCCCAGTTGAATTCCGTTGTAAAACATTTATATTGTTCTTTCCTAGATATTTATTCATATTTTTCTAAATATTTCTATTTTTTATCAATAAACAATAAAGAATATGGATTTATAGGATTAAATATTATCTTTAGATATTGTAGAGTAGTTTTAGTTTTGGGTTATAGGAATAAATATTATTGTTACTTTATATAAATAGAGCTGATTCAAGTTCATAGGATTAAGGATTAAATGGTTACTGTATATAGAAGAGCTGATTCAAGTTTAAAGGGTTAAGGATTAAGGATTAAACTTGTTACCGTTATAGAAGTGCGGATTTAAGTTTAAAGGATTAAGGATTAAGGATTAAACTTGTTACAGTATAGAAGAGCGGATTCAAGTTTAAAGGATTAAGGATTAAACTTGCTACCGTATAGAAGAGCAGATTCAAGTTTAAACCGGATTAAGGATTAAACTTGTTACCGTATAGAAGAGCGGATTCAAGTTTAAACCGGATTAAGGATTAAACTTGTTACCGTATAGAAGTGCGGATTAAAATTTAAAGGATTAAGAATTAAGGATTAAACTTGTTACCGTATATAGGAGTGCGGATTCAAGTTTAAAGGATTAAGAATTATGGATTAAACGTGTTACCGTATAGAAGAGCGGATTTTCTATTCTGGTGAAGGGATTCCACGTACTCTCTGAAAATGTATAGTTAAATAAGATTTGGATAAACAAAATTATTGTTTTAACCAAACCAAACCTTCAGAATATCGTCAGAGGGGGGGGGGATAACTTTTCTTTGACAGAATTTAAGTAATTAAAGATGGTTGTAAACAAAATGCCAAACTTAAATTGTCAGTCTAGATAGATTACTTTCTCTCTATTATTTACATGTAAAGTTAATTTGTATTACAAAAAAAGTTTTAAAAGGATTTTAAGTTTTAAAACCGTGTAAAGTTAAGTAAATGGACAGTGGGCATTGAAGTTAAAAAGGATTGAGATACTAAAGCATTATATCTCATAAAGGTAACATTACCTCCAAAAGAGATGAGTAGCAATGAATGCTTTTTGTTTCGGGATTTAAAAAAAAAACTGTGGTCTGCCGTTTTGTATCATAAGAATGGACTATAGAAAAGTCTTTTTTACAAACTCTGATTTTCTATTTCTAATCCTTATGTCTTTGCAACTCTATGCCAGAGAAACATCAAAAATATCAGTTCCTTTGTTCAAATTTTATGAAAAAAGAACGCCGCATTTTCGAAAACTTACATTCTTTAAACTACTTTTATAGCTAACAGCTTTATGAAAATCAGAGACAAAAAACTGTTCCAATGCCCAAATCCAATATCCATGGTCAAATATGTCTACCTTGCTATATGAGGGATAGAACTGCGCCTTTCCTCACTCTCATACTAAAAATTAACAAAATATTTAGTAATTTAGTAAATCAGTAATCAGTAAATATTTAGTGGTTTAGGATGAATAAGAAAAATAAGAAATTATTTCTAAATTAATTCAGGGTTAATGGGACACTATAGTTTCATTAGAAGTAAATATTTCCATTTACTGATAGCGTCGATTCAAGGATTCATAACTCTAATTGGATAATGAGATAGATGATATACCTCCATTCTATTTCTATTGGTTCAGAATAGACAACAAACACATGACTAAACCCTGATTGGAACAGGCGCTAATGAAACCCGGTTTTTGGCGGATTTAAGACGCGGCTCAAATTCATAAAATTCGAACTCAGGATGGTGGGGGGGAGGGAACCGGAAGGGACTCTCTTCAAATTTTCTGATCCCTATATCTTGGCTTCCTGTTAGTACAAGCCTTTGATATTTCAAACTTAGACTTTTTGATCAGAATTCATAGTTTGAAATAAGTAAGGTCTACGAAATCGGGTTGTGGCTAAGACGCAATTCCTTTCATGTAATTTTTTCATACAAATCCTATCAACAAGTGTATGGTAACAAATGAAGAGGGTGTCAATGAACCTACAGGATACATCTTTTCTTTTAACATTTTTTCTCCCTACATCTCAAATATATATTTTCTACATCTCAAATTTATCTTTCTACATCTCAAATATATTTTTCTACATCTCAAATTTATCTTCCTTCATCTCAAAATTATCTTCCTTCATCTCAAATTTATGTTCCTTCATCTCAAATTTATCTTCCTACATCTCAAATTTATGTTCCTTCATCTCAAATTTATGTTCCTTCATCTCGAATATATCTTCCTACATCTCAAATGTATATTCCTACATCTAGAATGTATCTTCCTACATCTAGAATATATCTTCCTTCATCTCAAATTTATGTTCCTTCATCTAGAATATATCTTCCTACATCTCAAATTTATCTTCTTACATTTCAAATTTATGTTCCTTCATCTCAAATTTATCTTCCTACATCTATAATATATCTTCCTACATCTCAAATTTATCTTCCTTCATCTCAAATTTATCTTCCTAAATCTCAAATGTATCTTCCTTCATCTAGAATATATCTTCCTACATCTCAAATTTTTCTTCCTACATCTCAAATTAATGTTCCTTCATCTAGAATGTATCTTATACATCTCAAATTTATCTTCCTTTATCTAGACTGTATCTTTCTTCATCGCAAACTTATGTTCCTTCATCTAGAATGTATCTTTCTACATCTCAAATTATAATGATACATCGGCAAAAAAATATTTATATATATAAATACCTGTTTTGGGCCAAATACCCCCCTTTCTACGCCCCTGATCAAGGAAAAAAAATTTGAAATTTTGTTATGCCCCTTATGAATTAAAAGAATATAGGTGCACCATTTATCTCTATTATTACAAGAGTTATTACAAACTCCAGGAGACTAGTGAGGTCCTTTATTGCCTACATAATAAGTAATAATATTAAGAAGTTTTAATAAAGCAGTGTGTAATACTAAAAGGTTTTAATAAAGCAATGTGTAATACTAAAATGTTTTAATAAAGCAGTATGTAATACTAATAAGTTTTAAAAAAGAAGTGTGTAATACTAAAAAGTTTCAATAAAGCAGTGTGTTATACTAGTAAGTTTTAATAAAGCAATGTTATGCTAAAAAGTTTTAATAAAGTAGTGTGTTATATTAAAAAGTTTTAATAAAGTAGTGTTTTATACTTACAAGTTTTACACAAATCAGTTGGAAATAGAAGTTTAAAAAATCAGTGTGTGAAGTTTTGACAAAGCAATGTGTGTACTGTGTAGTACTAAAAAGTTTTAAAAAGGAGTTGAAACATGTTTCCAATAATTGATAGTTTTTGCTTGAAATTCTGCTCCTTTGCGGTGGTAAATGTTGTGGAAACTGTTGGGTCACATGTGATACAGTTTACACACACATTTAATATTAAACTTACATGGCAGTTCAAAAATAATGAAATTTATTAAAAAGTTTTTAAAGAAACACTAATGTGTTAAATCTTTTATCTTAGCTTAGCAACTTTCAACACATAAATTCTGCTACTATAATGATGTTGTGATTTTGTTGATCTTTTACGATCAGCGGTTCAAGGGATCTTAAGATCGCTGCGATCATAGTTATCTAGGGGTATCATGCTCCCCCCCCCCCTCCTCTACACCTTGTAGACATTAGAATTATAAAGGTTTTTGTTGTGTTTACATGATAATTCGAACAAGCCAAACAGGATCTAAATATAACCCAAGCCACGCCATTAACAGTTATTTTGGAAGTCGGCCCGATAAGCCAGGGGAGCTAAGGTTAAGATCCAGGCTAGGGTGCAGCGGAGGTTGGCAGAGAGGGGGTAGATGGAAATCAACCCTTTCGATGAGAGGTGGAAGAATATCCTGAGCATCCATCTTCCACTGACTATTATTCATTTCCATCGATCGTATAGTATTTTTAGTTTATTAGTGTTTGTATAAAAATAATAATAATAAATTGTAAAACCGTCTCGCAGAACATTTGATAATTGAGTTGTTGCCTTGAATTTTTAGCATATACAAGAGTATATCAAATAGTCAATGTTTAAAATATAGTTGTGTACATGCATCATGTGGAAAGATTAAAGGATTATAAAATTGGAGTATGTGGCGTGTGTAATCTATATAATTAAGCTCTTTGCTCATACAGTGATAACCAGAAAACAATAGGAATACGACATTATAGCAAAACTGAAGTGTATTTGATGGTGTTACAAAGCAAATAGTTTTACCAGACACTTTTAAAATAACTTTTTCTGTAAAATGGGTCTGTTAACGCTGCACAATTGCTGTGTTCCATGGTCATTGAACTTTTTGAAGTTAAACATTGATTTTTAAAGTCGTCTTACTATTCCAGAGTTTTCTGGTTATCACTGTATATTTACATATTTGTAAATATATAAATTTATATGATAGCAATAGCAGGCCGAACGCCTGGACCGAATGAGCTGACATTTGTTTGGGAACCCTTGAGTACGAGGGTAACATAAGCTTTAAAAAAGTCGAATTTTTTTATTTTTAAAAAATCGATTTTTTTTTCTTCGAAATTTGCGTTTTAAAAATTCCACGGGCTATGCAGTGCACTTTAGCTAGTGTCATATAAATTTGTTCGTGAAACCAATTTTAGTCTAAAAGTGTGTCAAATAATTTATCTTATTTATCTTATTTATCTTACTTTATCTTTCTTTATCTTGATTTATCTGAATTTATCTTTATTTATCTTTATTTATCTTGATTTATCTTGATTTATTTTTAAAAGCAGAAATTTAAAAAAGTTAATTTTCATTTTATTATTTTTTTTCCATTTCAAAGACTTTTGTTCGTTGGCTGAACCACTCCAATTCTTTAAATCTACTCTATTAGACATCAATACTGCTAATGGGAAACCAATACACATGAAATCCATGGTGACCCAAAAAAAATGGGAATTAAGTGACGACTTTTATATCGTCTTCGATCCATGCAGCATTTTTTTCATGAACTCAATAATTGGAGTATTCCAGTGTATACATCTAATATCAAAAACGCCTGGTCTTGAGATTTTTGTATCTTTAAAATTGACAGAGATATTGCAAAATTTTGTAAAAATTTCAATTTATTTAAGAAATCAAAATTGTCTGAATATCTAATATCTTTGTGAATTATTAAGACACGAGAAAGTATTACAACACCCTGTATAGTGTATATAGTTCTAGATAACCAACGATCTTTCCTTCTTAATAACCATTCCTGACCTTCTTAAAATATAAATTATATTACAGAAAACCACTAGATTTTCTTTTTCATATTCTCGTTTATATTTTTTTATTAATCTAACTTGTTTTTTAGGGTTTTCTTTCCTTACAAATATTTCTCTCACCTCATACTTTTGTCATTATCTCCTTCTACATCATGTACTTATCTCCTTCTACATCTTGTACTTATCTCCTTCTAAATCATGTACTTATCTCCTTCTACATCTTGTACTTATCTCCTTCTACCTCTTGTACTTATCTCCTTCTACCTCTTGTACTTATCCCCTTCTACCTCTTGTACTTATCTCCTTCTACATCTTGTACTTATCTCCTTCTACCTCTTGTACTTATCTCCTTCTACCTCTTGTACTTATCTCCTTCTACCTCTTGTACTTATCTCCTTCTACATCTTGTACTTATCTCCTTCTACATCTTGTACTTATCTTCTTCTACCTCTTGTACTTATCTCCTTCTTTCTGTTGTGCTTCATATTACTTCTAACTCTTGAACTTATCTCCTTCTACCTCTTGTACTTATCTTCTTCTACATCATGTACTTATCTCCTTCTACAATTTGAACATTTTTTATTTAAACAAAGACATTGTTCTCTTAAAAATATTATGATTTGTTAAAATTGTTCACACAAATATGATTATCTATAACTTTTAGTAGCAAACTAAACAAACAACCAGTAGGTGGCAGCCCCCTCCCCTTCCTCCCCTCCCCATGTCACAATAATCAAACAAAAGTAATGAATGTTTCCTAGCTGTAGACCTTCACAACAACACCTAACTAGAATATAATTCATTGTGTTATCTGGAAATATATATATATATAATATATATAGAGATATATATATACAATAAATATTGATATTGGAATTATAAAGATAGATTTGTACATATATCATAATACAAAGGCTCCCAAGGAGCTTTGCACTCTCCTTGAGTAAACATTTCCACTTTTTACTACTTTTTTGTGCTAGCATGTTTTCTTTAAATATATATAAAAACAATTTTCATACAAAAAATAAATTCAGATTATTTTTTGCTGGATATTCAAAAAGTTTGGTACATACTTGAGAAAAAAATGTTTAGATTAAATTCTGACCTTTTAAGATCAAATTCACATTCTATTTAAGATTTAAATAGCTGTAAATAAAGATCTAGAAAATTATTTAATTTCAAAATCTCTGTTTACAAAAGATTAAAATAATTTTAGATGACGATTCAAATTACTGCCCAGTGACAAACCCGATGGAACACCCTACCCCCCCCCCCAAAAAAAAAAACAGAATCAAATAAAAATTTGATAAAAAATTATAAAACTGTAATTTTATCTCGCAAAGAAAATCAAAAAAAAACTTAAAGCTCTACTTGAAGAAATTTTTTAAAAAAGTTAATATATGATGTTTATATTGCTGACAAATCAAACAAATAAACCTTGACATTGATCCTAGAACCATTTGTGCTTTTATATATTCAATACATATCCAGATATTTGATAAATATATATATACAGTATTTATTACATATTTTTATATATTTAATACATATCCAGATATTTAATAAATATATAAATATATATATACAGTATTTATTACATATTTTCAAGCTTGTGTACACCTTCATTCAGTAACATTATGGATTTTATTCAGGGGGAGAAAAGAGAGTATTTATGAACTATAAATAAAAAGGATTTACAATTTACTTAGATTAGAAGAGCTACATTATTATTTAATCACATTATAAACATATTTTCAGATTTAAGACACCAGTAATAAGGTGTTTAGAAATAAACGTTTATCAATCAATCAATCAATTAAACATATTTTCGGTTTTTACCGGTGTTTCTCTTTAAACGATTTTGATCGATTCAATTAAAATTAATAAAATCGGTTTCTTATAATACAATATTGTAAGTATGTATGTGGACTAATTTCGATGGGGCGGAAGGGTCGAGAGGGTGGGAGAGTTTTTAATATAAAATTTACTCACCGATGATAGCATTCTTTTAAATCCCCTGTTTGGTGTGGCGGGCTGTGATCCACGTGAGTTTAAGGATGAGATACGATGCCGCTGAACCAGTTCATCAGCTGGGGGATCATGCCTAAACCGGTTTTAGTTTATCCACCATTTTGAATATTGTATAAAGTAATTATATATGATTTAAATGCATATAGGGGGATTTAAGTTTTAATTCATTAAAGGCGTTCATAACTATTAATTTAAAGGGGGGGGGGGGTTGACTTAAGCTAGCTGCTAAAAAATATGAATGAATGAACTAAGGTTATTGTTAAACTTTAAACGAATTCTGGAAAATATTTTTTTAATCTTATCTTGAGAGAAGATAACAGAGATTCAGAAAGGAAAGTTTTCATTCCTTTTCGATTTAAAATCAAATTTAAATCCAGCTCTGACTCAAGATTGTATCAGATTTTCCAATTCTTATTGTTTTAGTCATTCTTTTAAAGGCTTTTAACTAATTTTTAGTGTTAAATAAGGATGCAGATTACAGAATTAAAATATAAAATGTTTATGACCGTAAACGGTAAATGGAAAACGTATTGAAGAAAGTAGATGATAAAGGTTATTTGGTATTTACGGTAAACGGTAGACAGTAGACGGTAAACAGTTTACGGTAGACGATAAACGTTATTTGGTATACACAGTAAACAGTAGACAGTAGACGGTAAACAGTTTACGGTAGACAGGATGGTAGACGGTAATCTGTAGATGGTAAACAATTTACGGTAGACAGTAAACAGTTTATGGTAGACAGTAAACAGTTTACGGTAGACAGGACAATAGACAGTAGACAGTAGACGGTAAACAGATTACAGTAGACAGGACAGTAGACGGTAAACAATTTACGGTAGACAGGACGGTAGACAGTAAACAATTTACGGTAGACAAGACGGTAGACGGTAGACAGTTATAGACGATAAACAGTATACAGTAGACAGTAGTTGGTAGACACAAACAGTAAACATAAACAATATATGGTAAACATAGCTATAGCTAGGTAAACTGTAGCATCATTAATATATATTAAACCTATATTTGTTTTCTTTATGAAAGATGTAATTTACAAATGTCAGGGAAATCAAGAAGCAAAAGAAGGAGTATTGATTATTACATAGTAGAACAAAAGATCCGTTTTATTACAGTGTACACTTATAATGTTCATATGACGTCATGATATAATGTTCATATGACGTCATGATATAATGTTCATATGACGTCATGATATAATGTTCATATGACGTCATGATATAATGTTCTTATGACGTCATGATATAATGCATTTAAGGATCGAATATTACTCGGGGTGGTGTTGACAAATGAATTCTACAAGAATATTATTAATGAAAAATCTGTCTGCTTGTTTGGTAAGTTTAGGTAATCAATCTTGATTGGATTAATTATTTGTTCAGTGCATATCAAGGTTGCATAATAAAGTAAGGTTACTCTCGATGCGCTCTAATGAATAACAGAAAATGTCGTCTCCCAAGATAGATAGATAAAAACCTCATATGACGTCACTCTAGCCTCTATAATCAGTGACGTCATTGGAGCGCATCAAAAGTAACCAACATTATTTTACAACCTTGGTGCATATGTAGTGTTTATTATTGCAAACTACTAAGCTACTGATTGCAATGAACAAGCAGAGTAAGGAATGTTTTACATATTTTTTGCTTGGTTTCTTAGATTAAAGTGTCTTTTTTATTTGTCGTATAGTATATTTTCTAGTTGGCTGTACCCCATTTACCACAGTTGTCTATTATACTCCAGTATGATCTGTGCTCTAGTGTACTTCATTGTACTATAGTGTTCTTAGTAGAGATAAGAGAGTACAGAGATCTATTAAATGCTAGAATATGCAATATTTTCCACAACAGGTTCAATTGTGGAAAACTGGAGTACACGACCAATAGCAGACGTCAATATTCAGGGGTTTTTAAGGGAGTACACGACCAATAGCAGACGTCAATATTCAGGGGTATTTAAGGGAGTACACGACCAATAGCAGACGTCAATATTCAGAGGTATTTAAGGGAGTACACGACAAATAGCAGACGTCAATATTCAGGGGTATTTAAGGGAGTACACGACCAATAGCAGACGTCAATATTCAGGGGTATTTAAGGGAGTACACGACCAATAGCAGACGTCAATATTCAGAGGTATTTAAGGGAGTACACGACCAATAGCAGACGTCAATATTCAGGGGTATTTAAGGGAGTACACGACCAATAGCAGACGTCAATATTCAGGGGTATTTAAGGGTTCTTTGGATACTAAATACAAAACCTTTAAAAATAGATTAAGTAAGACATTTTATGTTTTATGTTAAAATTGTGTTTCTTTAAAAATTGTAAAACTTTACAAGTGGCAAGTAGTTGGAAGTCAAAAACCTTTTGTAAAAATAAAGCATGTCTTGCTGGTACGAATATAGGCCTAGGCCCGTGAAAGCTAATTAGCAGTCTGTATATATCTAGTATGTGGTCCTCAGTGTACTCTTCTGTACTCTTGTGAGCTCTATAGTGTACTCTATTGTATGGAGTGTATGCTAGTGTACGATAGTGTACGTTAGATAACGCTAGTGTACGTTAGATAACGGTAGTGTACGCTTGTTTACGCTAATTTACGCTAGTGTACTTTCAAAGTACGCTAGTTCACTTTAGTGTACTCTAGTGTACTCAATGTACTTGTTTATTTATGTACTGCTAACTAAAAGGGAAAATTACGATTACCAGTACTGTTCATGAGCGGAAACCCTGCTGTACTCTAAAGCACAGGGTCCAACTAGTAGAGAGGAGAGTAAAGGACCGTAGTCAGGGTCTCCTATCAGAGACTTAGAACAATCATAGAACCTAGGAATATATATATATTTATAGTCTAATAATAGATTAACATATGATAAATAAAGACGCACTAATGTGGACGCATGCATGATTGATAGATAGATAGATAGATATAAAGGAAATAAACAGATAGATATACGGAAAGAAAATATATTATAGATGGATGGATATAACGTATAGATAGCTGGATAGAACATATATATAGATGGATAGAACATACAGATAGCTTTGGATGCATTAACAGAGAGATGGCTAGAAAACATACAGATATATGTAAAGAAAACATACATCTATATCTATACAAAATATAGAATTTATAAAATTAAATAAGGCAGATCCTTGGAATTTGAATGGCATATATCAAGGCTTTTATAAAAGATTTGATAAAAGAGAGTTCCTATATATTAAATATTACTCCAAAGGAAGATTAAATACATAAATTTATGAATAGAAAAGTTTAAAGAAGACTTAAAAATATAAATAAACCCTCTAAATAATTTCTTGATCGGATTATAGAAAAGTTTTCCGTAAAAAAATTAATCAATACTTGAAGGTAAACCATTCACGCTAACTCAACAAAATCTTTACGTGTACGGAATACGTATATTTGGTTTGATATTTACCATGGCGGAACTAGGGATCGAAAACTTATTTCTCCATACCCCCCCCCCCTCACACACATCTCCCTCTTTTTAAAGGGAGTGTTCGCGAAAATTTAAGGGGGTGTAGACTTACGTCGAAAAATTATCGATGTAAATTTGTTTACGATCAGAGTCGAATGTTGCAACTTTCTGAATTTGTATGAACGTCCTTCGGTATGAGTCGTTTTTAACAATTTTCTCCTTATAGACGCAACAGATGGAAAATGATTAGTAGCAATCACAATCAAATATTTTTCGACGAAACCATTTCATTTTTCGCGAACACTCTCGGCCTTTAAGTTTTTTTTCGATTTATCAAAATTTGAAGTTCTATTGAGAAGAAAATAATGTTTATTGCGAAACCGTAACAATTTCCTCTTCTCATACTGCCAACATAATCAAAACTAGAGGAGCTACGAGGTCACAAAATCAGACCAGGAATGTCGCATTGAATTGACCTTCTCCTTCAGTTCACAGTGCATAGTCTAATGACATCAATGTTTAATAAAGGAATGGAGTCTTTGTCACCAACTCTGTTTTTCTAATTCTTATATCTTTGCAACCCAGTGCCATAGAACTAACATATTTCAAGCTATGAATTTTATATGTTGTGCATAGCCGCCCAAATGGCAGATTGGGCTGAAATTTTTTGTGGACACTCATGGGTGGCTAGGGGGTGTTGTAGGCTAAAAAAATCAAAATATTTCGTTAAAATTTTTTTCCAATTTAAAAAAAAATCCACGAGCAACGACGGGCTCTTAACAGCTAAGAATAAGAGAGGCGTGAGGCTGGATTTCTATATTATTTTAATTAAATTCTGTTTTTATATATGACAGAAGAAAACATATTTTTGAACCTGAAGAGAAGATAATTAGATAAGTGCACCTCTTGTATTTTCTTGCCTAAAACCGTGTCGGTAATTGTGCTGCGAGAAAATTGTTAACATTTTTTTTAAAAATTCAAATTGTACAATGTACATGCGAAATTATACGCATTACAGTGCATGTATGTACAGTCAAGTACAGTTATTTTTTTACATGCAATGCATGTGCACTGTACAGTTGTATTATTAGGTACACTGAAAAGCTTACATTGTATGGTAAAAGGGTGCCTATTTTAAAGGAATTGAGTCTTCTGCATAAACTAAAATTTTCCTATCCCTATATCTTTGGAACCTAATGGCGTAAACCTTTGATATCCCAAACTTAGATTATTCGATCTGACAGAAATTATAGTTTTAAATGTCTAAGATCTACGACATTGTATTGCAAATATATTGGAATTAGAAAATTAGAGTTTGTGAAAAATCTTAATTATCTCAACTGCAGTTGAATTGGTAATGGGAATTTAATTAAATTTGTTTTAATTGCGATAACATTGTCTTAACATAATGTTGCTTCGATCAATAAATTCATTTCTATTCTGAGTGGAAATGTAAAAACCGACCTTCCTCTCCCCACTTTAGTGTTTAACATGAATCAAACAGAAATAGTTTTAGTTTCTTAAACAAACTAACAATTTAGCCCCTTTCAGCTCCATTCAAGGAAGCTTTCTCCATGGAAAACATGCAAATTCTGATTTGTATTTTTTTATTTTTGTCGATTCTTAATCGATCTTGATTATTGTTCAATCCATTCATAACACATAAAAACTCTTGTTAAAAATAATGAAACCACTGCAAATTAGACAGATGGAGAAATTGATGTGACATTGATAGCATTTGCATAATGGAAATTAAAAACAATTTTGTTTCTCTATAAAGCTTTTAAAGGATTTATGATTGATAACATTTAAGATTTCAATTTTACGCGTAATTTACTTTATCATAACATGAAATGAAATGCGAAGTAAAATTACTTGTTCTTGATTGTGATTTTTTGTCTTATATTAGAATCTTAATCATAATCAAGTATTCTTTAAACATGATAATAAATGATGAAATTATTAAATATAAATCGATGTATGGAATAATTGTATTTGTAATCTCGTTGTAAAACTAGCTTCATCTAATCATGTTCAGAGGAATCATAATTTAATTGTCCCCGAACTTAGTCAGTAAACCTTCAATTATGGATCTATTTTTCTCAATCAAATGTATTTTTTACTTTTCTCTCTTTCGTTAGTAAATTTTTTAAAAATCAAAATAAATTTAGTTTAATGTTAATTGTTTATTTGTTTTGAATGTTTGGAATAATATTTTCTAAATATTTTATTTTAAACTTACAGCCAGGTATCATAAAAAGTAAAATCAATTATACTTTTAACAGAAATATCGACAAAGAATATTTGCCATTTGTTCTGATGGGCCTCATTTCGAAAATTTAATAAATCAATATTAGACTTGCAAAAAGCGTTTGATTTTCAGAACCTAATACAGATGCACTTAATTAAGAGCAATATCAAATTTAGTTTGATAGGAGAGTCTGACATCCATGTATCACAATACCATATCTCATGTCTAAGGTTAAAATCATGCATGAGCTAGGAGGGGGGGGGGGAGGTGGTCAAACCTATATAAGACGAAAATGCCCCACCCGGGGATAGGGGTAAGATGAAGAAAGGAGTTACTAACAGGAAGGGGTTGTTCAAAGTGTTTAGCTGACCCTCCAGTTAAACAGGTTGAAAAGATTCAAAATGATTGAAAACTTAATTTGACCGATAAAGTGGAAGAGAAGATAATGCTGTTTAATTCTGATAATTTCTTGGAGAAAAACTACAAATAAAAATAAAAAGTTTTCAGAAGCAAAAACATGGAAATCTAATTCATTCTTGGTAAATTTCACAACAAAGAATAATTAAATTATTGAAAAATGAAAAGAAAAAAATATCCAAATTTTTTAACCCTAAACATATTCAACGATATTTTTAAAGATTTTGTTAATCAGCGTATTACTCCCCCTAATGCCTCCAACCCTCGCCTTAAAGAACCTCATAGTTCGAGCAGTGAACTAATAATCTTGTTTATTAAGGGTTAGAAAAGATCTCAGGATGAATTAATTATTTCCCAACATTATGTATAATGCATACAATGGGCTAACAGAGACGGTAAAAAATACCTAAAAACATAACCCCCAACACAGAACTGCCATGTACAAAATGCATCGTATAAATAAAACAAATCTTACATTGTTAAAAAACGTTAAAACCCGAAAAAAAACGTCAAAAACTGAAAGAATTAATGATTTGGAAAGATGAATGAATGAATGAATAATTTGAACGGATGAAAAGGAGGAAGGAAGGAAGGTAGGAAGGAAGGACGTGCCAAGAAACCGAAATTCCCGAATACTAGGAAGGAAGGCAGGCTGAAAGAATGAAAGAATGAATAAATAAATACCTATCTGAGTTTTGAGTAAGATAACTGAGAATCCTGTGAAGTTTCTTCTCAAACAGAGCAATTCTGCAGAAAACAAGAGAAATTTTAAAATAAATTTAAAGTTTTAAAACGTTATCCATTATTTAACTTTTCCATCGTCTCATAGTTTTTATCAAGCTGACATTCCTTTCAGTTTCCCTGTTCGAAAAAATATTATTGGACTATCAGAGGTTTGTAAATGACGTAATAGGTTGATTTAAGTCATCTTTAATGCTCAAGGAGACAGATCAGGGGGATAAAGATGCATCATTGACAGGGAGACAGATCAGGTAGATAAAGATGCATCATTGACAGGGAGACAAATCGGGTAGATAAAGATGCATCATTGACAGGGAGACAGATCAGGTAGATAAAGATGCATCATTGACAGGGAGACAGATCAGGTAGATAAAGATGCATCATTGAGAGGGAGACAGATCAGGTAAATAAAGATGCATCATTGACAGGGAGACAAATCGGGTAGATAAAGATGCATCATTGACAGGGAGACATATCAGGTAGATAAAGATGCATCATTGAGAGGGAGACAGATCAGGTAGATAAAAATGTATCATTGACTCGTGAGAAAGGGATTTACTAATTATGCAGCAGCATATCGCTGTACAGTTCGAGTTATTTAATCAATCGAGATGTAGATTTTGGTGTTAATATGCTCATTGTTGTCTGCATATCAACTCTGCACAGTGGGTCAAGTGGATACAGGGAGAAAGTATGGCTATTACTTATTAAAATAAAAATTTAAGTCCATTGTATATTTATTTTTCAGCTATAGATATATAAAGATTTTATTTAGAGCCTTCTTTTTGGTGTAGTGTGGGCCATGACATGTAGATTGCAGAAGGCTCTAAATTTGACATAGAACCATTTTTATTTTGTGACTGCAGTTGAGTAAAAACGCATTTTTAAATGACAACAAACAATAAAAGATTTTTAAGCGAAAGATTGGATTTTTCTGAAGAAAAAAATTTGAAAAATAAGATAAAGTATAAAGATGTATCCAGCTAAAAAAAAACATTTGGCTAATCAAAACTATTTGATCGCCACAGGCTTCTTTGACTAAAATTTGCGTTTTTTTTCCTGCAAAGATAGTAAAAAAGGGGTAGCAGAGCCCTTTTTCAATTGTCTGTTTTAAAGTACCCTTTATAAAGGACTTTTCATGAAAGGTCGGATAAAATTTCACATTTTCCTCCAAAATCCTAGGAGCACTCCAAAACCCTGGGAGCAATTCCAAAACCCTGAGAGCACCCACCCCTCCCTCTGTCAACCCTGCATCTTTGTTGATCTGTGTTGTGGGATCAGAAGTTAAAGAGATATCGCGATAAAATTAGAATTTAATAATGACTTTAACAATGGCTTCATTGAAAAAATAATGCACCCTCCCTAAAATATAATGAAATTATTTGTTGTCTTAAACTCAAAATTTGCATTTCCATTAGACTTTCGAACTCCTTTACACCAAACTTTGAATAAATTAAGCACCCAATGCACCTAACGTTAAAGTCAATAAATTTAACTAACAAAACTTTAATCTCAGTAAACAGAGTTGAAAACTTTAATATTTTATGAATATATTTTAGAACAAATTAGTTCAAGATTCATACCAATCAAAATAATGCGGGAAAACGCTGATCTAGTAATCTTGTGTTATTGTTAGAGCAAACGAGAATCCCTTTATTCCGCCATTTATCTTGCCTTTTGTTATCGATCTATCAACAAACCTTTCTTTTCAGCACATTTAAAAAAACAATGAAAAATATCCCGAATATTCATCTTTAGATCGGAAAAATTTCAAGATTAGACAAGCCTTAGACTTTTAGAGAGACGTGTTCTTTAAAGTTCTGAATTTATGACCAACCATAAAACTCCGAAATATTATGGCCAAATCCCTGGTAGATTGGGTACAGTGCAGTACAGTACAGACAGACAAGCGAAATATATATTTTCTTGTAATTCCTACCTGATCCAGTAGAACCTGTTACTGCTGCTGGAAACCAGATTAGACGAGGAATCAACCTTAAATACATATTTCTAATTAAATTAAATATTGGTATACTGATTTTTATTAAAATCTATATTAATACACAATTGTGGTGTTCAGAGACCGAATTTTAAGAATTTGAACCGCATCTAGATGCGGTTCGAACATGAGACGCGGTCAGACATGGTTGGTTCACCTTGAAATTTTAATAAATGTTTCGAGATTTGAACCGGTGATTTGTGGTTCAGCGACGAGGTGCAAATTCATTAAAGTCGGCCATGTGATCATCGAAACTTTTAAATTGACAAATAAGTTAAACTAAATCTGGGCTGAACTCTTATTTAGGAACCCATGGGTGCTCGGGGAGTAACATAGGTAAAAATAAATTTGACGCCTTGGACTTGAGCTGGAGTTAGATTAAAAAAGAAAAAATTACCCTTTGTGTAGATCTAGATGAGAATGAGATTATTGAATCTGAACTTGAAGAACTTTTCCTTCTACCCTCTCCTCTACTCTCCAACTCATCGATCCTGAGAATATGGGGTTTAGAAAATCACGCGGATTTAACGATTCGGTCCTTATCCCTGCAAGCCTTCACTTTCGATCACAATTTGACACACCTTCTCGCCTTGTCTTTTTTAATATTTTTTGTCGGCATACACCTTCTCAATATATTACAATTAAGCGAGGTTAAAGATTAATGAAATATAGACTAACACGTGTTTAACTTTAAATAGAAGAATCCGCTGGTTAGTCCGAAGTGGGATTTACAGACAGAGGTAAGAACTTTTGTATTGTTAATCTCGGACTATACTATCCTATGTAGAGAACTACGGATTAATTTAGTTAAGCTCGGATATCATATTGTTAATCGTACCCTGAAGGAATAACTAAATGATCCCTCAGTTTTATATTAGAGGATAAATGCTTGATCCCTCAGTTTTAGATTAGAGGATAAATGATTGATCTCTCAGTTTTATATTAGAGGATAAATGCTTGCTTCCTCAGTTTTATATTAGAGGATAAATGCTTGATCTCTCAGTTTTATATTAGAGTATAAATGCTTGATCCCTCAGTTTTATATTAGAGGATAAATGCTTGATCCCTCAGTTTTATATTAGAGGATAAATGCTTGATCCCTCAGCTTTATATTAGAGGATAAATGCTTGCTTCCTCAGCTTTATATTAGAGGATAAATGCTTGATCTCTCAGTTTTAGATTAGAGGATAATTGCTTGATCTCTCAGTTTTAAATAAATGCTTGATCCCTCAGTTTTATATTAGAGGATAAATGCTTGATCCCTCAGTTTTATATAAGAGGATAAATGATTGATCTCTCTTTTTTAAATTAGAGGATAAATGCTTGATCTCTCAGTTTTAGATTAGAGGATAAATGCTTGATCTCTCAGTTTTAAATTAGAGGATAAATGCTTGATCCATCAGTTTTATATTAGAGGATAATTGCTTGATCCCTCAGTTTTAAATTAGAGGATAATTGCTTGATCCCTCAGCTTTATATTAGAGGATAAATGCTTGATCTCTCAGTTTTATATTAGAGGATAAATGCTTGATCTCTCAGTTTAAAATTAGAGGATAAATGCTTGATCTCTCAGTTTTATATTAGAGGATAAATGCTTGCTCCCTCAGTTTTATATTAGAGGATAAATGCTTGATCTCTCAGTTTTAAATTAGAGGATAAATGCTTGATCCCTCATTTTTAAATTAGAGGATAAATGCTTGATATCTCAGTTTTACATTAAAGGATAAATGCTTGATCTCTCAATTTTATATTAGAGGATAAATGCTTTTTCCCTCAGTTTTAGATTAGAAGATAAATGATTGCTCCCTCAGTTTTAAGTTAGAGGATAATTGCTTGATCCCTCAATTTTAAATTAGAGGATAAATGCTTGATATCTCAGATTTATATTAGAGGATAATTGCTTGATCTCTCAGTTTTAGATTAGAGGATAAATGCTTGATCCCTCAGTTTTAAATTAGGGGATAAATGCTTGATCCCTCATTTTTAAATTAGAGGATAAATGCTTGATCCCTCAATTTTAAATTAGAGGATAAATGCTTGATCTCTCAGTTTTAAATTATATTCTTGAAGAGGAATTAAATAAATCCGTAGATCTGCATAAGATTGAGATCAATGCTTGATCTCCTTGATCCCAAGATTGACAACACAAAAGTTCTGAATTTAAGTTATATTGAATACAGTATAGAGAATCCTACTTGATCCTTCTTTTAAACATGGGGTTCGGTTCTTAAAGAGACAGTTCACAGTGATCCGAAGGTTGCAAGGTTTACTAATGATAGTTTTTCAATCCCTCTTGAAAACCAACGGTAAAAATTTAAAGTGATTAGATAATCAAAGACCAAAAGTATTACTTTAGTAACATCCAGGAATTTGTCCAGGAGGGGGGCTTTATAAGGGGGGGCTCAGCACCCGTTGGGGCCTTAAAACCTCGTGAAATCCATAGATTTCACCGATTCAGGAGGGGGGGCTGAGCCCCCATAGCCCCCCCACTGAATCTGCCTCTTTTTTTTATAGTATAATATTGAAAATAACGATACTGAAAAATTTTGCAAATTTTTTCTGTCTTTAATTGTAAACTGTAAAAATAACAGTTCAATATTTAGAGACATTCTAATTTTTACCGGTTTTAAAGTCATTTTGAACAAGGCTCTAATTATTGGAAACTATAAATGGATACAAAAAACAATTCAATTATGTATAAAAGGAATTGAGTTTTTGAAACAAACTCTGATTTTCTAATCCTAATTCTAATATCTTTCCAACCCGATGTTTTAGACCTTTGATATTTCAAACTATGAATTCTATTAGATCATATAATCACTTTGAAATATCAAAGGTTTACATCATCAGATTGGAAAGATATAGGGATTAGAAAATATCTGTGTGTGGCAAAAACCTTAGTTAGGTTCTGTGTAAAAAAAAACTTTAAAAAGTTTCTATTGTTTTGTTTCTAATTCTGCTTTCTCGACTTTAATTAGTTAAAACAGGTGCTTGTTAGATGTTTTCATATTAAACTAAACATTGCATGATAAAATTATTATTTAATATTTCAAGCATGACCTTCATTTTTCTAAACAGTGCTTTAGCTTTATACGATTCTTGGCCTTGAAAATAAGAAATGCATTTGCAAATTTTGAATTTGTTATTTGCAATAAAATAGATGTTATAACATTATTTTTATTTTGAATAAATCAAGCCTCAGTAACCTATAAATGGTTCTTTAAATTTGTTAATTTTTTGTCAGGTGCGGAAAGGGCGTAAACAGTGAAGCCGGGGGTGGGACAATTTTTTCTGTTGGATATATATTATATATACCCTTAATAAAGATTCTAGAAATAATCAAAAAAAAATTTTAAATGGCGAGCTGAGAGCTATTTCAGGAAAAATAGATGAAAGAAGTCACAGTTAATAATATATCGATAAGGGTATCAGAAGATCTGTCTTGCAACTATAAATTAAAAATTTAAACGATAAAAGTAATCGCGTGGAGTTTACCTGAAATATATTCCAGTTTCAGAAGCGTAAATTTTTCACCAGTTTTAGATAATTTTAAAGAAATAATTGAATTGAACTTGGGAAGATATAAAATCCAATACCATTATCGATTGTGATAGCCGCAGAATTTTCTTTCATGCTATAACAGAAAATCAATAATTTAAAAAATCAATAAATCTCTAGAATAAGGGAAACCCGGCCCCTCCCCCTTTGAGGCGCATTTATTAGAAATCCGAATCTACAGCAAATCTTCATAATCACGATAAGATTTTAATCTTAGAATTCTGTAAGATCAAATTAAAGATTTTAACCGTCAGGTTGCAAAGATTTTTGGGTTAGGAAATTAGAGTTTATGGCAAGTGTTCAGTTCTTTTATTATTTACTAGCTTGGAAACCCAGCGTTTACTGGATAGTGGAAACTAAAATTTTTGATCCAAGCTGAGTCATGATCGGAAATCGAAACAGAAAATAAACAGTTAAACAGAGATTAATACTTTATAGAAATATAAAATATTGTTGGACAAATTAATAATAAATGCATTACTTTGAGTTGAGGTTAAAGAAAATATATGTTTTGAAAGTGAGGATTCATTTATATTTAAAGTGAAAGTGTGGATTCATTTATATTTAAGTGAAGGGAAGGATTCATTTTTATTAAAGTGAAGGGAAGGATTCATTTATATTTAAGTGAAGGGAAGGATTCATTTATATTAAAGTGAAGGGAAGGATTCATTTATATTAAAGTGAAGGGAAGGATTCATTTATATTAAAGTGAAGGGAAGGATTCATTTATATTAAAGTGAAGGAACGGAGAGGGGGGTGGGCGTTACTCTTATGAAGAAAAAAATAAACTAAAATTGGAGAGGGGGGGGGGAGGGAGATAAGTAAAGTACAACAAACAGCTGATTTTGAAATATTTTTCTTGTTATGACTGATTTGATCTAGTTGCATATTATGTATGTCATTAAATATGATAATATAATGTATAAACAATAACAAATCTTTTTGTAAAAAACCATAGGTATCATTTCAATTTTACAAAACAAGTTTGGTGGAAATATGAAGAAGACTCGAAAAATGATAACTATTGATGTGAGGAATTGTATGGAATGCATATTACATATAGATTATGCTGTTTAGCATATTTATTGAGAGAATTGAAGGAATTCTTCTATTCGTCCCATATGCATCCCGCGACCCGTGGCCGGTGACTTAGCTTGATTCTTTAAAACACCCTAAACTAAACTCTCGGTGAGTCCTGCAGTGATTTACAATACTCTGACCAAAGAAATATTGGCAAAAGCTTGCAACCTTTTGATCACTATTGGTTGCAGGCCGACCTTTGAGACTTTTGATATCAATTTCTGGTGTTGAAATAGTGTCATTACAGTAAAAAAAAATACATTGCGTAATGATTTTCGTTTTATTTTAAAAGAAATGCAGCTAAGAATTTAGTCTTTGCAACTGTACTATCTAATATCCGATTCGTTAAACCAAGGTATTTAGCGTTAAACATTATTTAGCTGCGATTTCTAGGGGCGAGCTGGGGAAGGAATAGCATTTAAATCACTGCAAGAAAATGTCTCTAACGAATCGAACCATAACTTCTGCAAAATTTTCAGGGCATATCATTTAACTTCCAACTATTATACATTTCTTATTTCTTGAGAAACCGACGACGAAATACCTCCACTGCTTGAACTGCTTGTTGGTTATGAACTGTTTTTTTTACCAATTGGCGAGAATTTACAAATATTGAGGATTCGATATTTTGTTGTAGGTGAAAATTTTACAAGTGCTCTTAAACCGATACAATATTTTACTATAGATAAACTGTCATGTATAAACTAAATAGGATTAAACTAGAAAAAAATAAAAACCTTTTCATAACTGCTCCTGCATCTGGGTTTTCTCTGCTAATCTTCTGTAAGAGCGCTATACTTGAACTTGTCTTAAACAATCCTAGAGCCCTTCTTCGTAGACCTATATTATTCATATATTCAGATATTCAGATATTCAGATATTCAAATATTCAGATATTCAGATATTCAGATATTCAGATATTCAGATATTTAGATAATCATATATTCAGATATTTAGATAATCAGATATTCAGATATTCAGATATTCAAATATTTAGATATTCAGATATTCAGATATTCAGATATTCAGATATTCAGATATTCAGATATTTTCGTTATAAATCTTAAAAGATAAACTTTGTCACGATGATGAATTTTATCCCTAATACTAGACAAGCAAAGTATGTATATGGAGATATAATTTTTTATAGTGCTTTTGAGAGATTAATCGATATATATTATATATAGGTGTAGATAATAGTTTGGCATTTTAATGGATCATTAAACTGATTTGGAGAAAGTTCGATGTGATTAGAAGATCAATAAAGTACGACCGTATATCTTTTAATCCTACAAGGAGTTTAGGGCGTTTCGCGCATATCTTCTATTTTAATTGGGAACATTTTCTGTTGTAGATTGTAAAATGAAGACAAAAAAATGTTCACGGATTTGATAAAAAAAATTTCGTGAATTTTCTAAATTTAATGACAATCGAATTTTGTTGGAGCCAAAATTTTGAAATTTTGATCTTCTATAAACCTTTCCCTGGGCACATATGAAGTCCCACACAAAATATGGGCCCGATCGGTTCAGCCGTTTTGACTTTTATTGGATACAAACAAACAGACAAGAAAGTATATAGATAAATTCCATTTGGAAATTAAGGTTTTAACCTTAAATTCAAGCATTAAAAGTAAGAGTCTTTCGAAATTACACTGACAGTCTCTACAAGTTCCAGACGTTTATGAGCGTAATAAAGAATATCATTTTGTTATCGTTCCAAATTGCTGTGGTAGATATATTTCAAAAATTCAAAAATATCTAAATAATTAAAATATATATAAGATATATTAACTAGAATATCTAGATAATTAGAATCTAGATAATTAAAATCAGCATAATCAAATATATAGATTATTAAGATGACTAATATTTAAATATTTAATATATATCTATGAGCAAGATGAATATATATTTACCTAAAGCTAGACAATTATCCACTATACTACAGACAGCAGATACATTACTACTTTCCTCATGCACAGTCTAGACATTCATTCATTCAGTCGGACATTCAATCAATAATTAATTCATTTATTCATTAATTAACTAATAATTATAATAGAGTTTGTAAAAACGTGAATAAACCCTTTAATGACGAAATCAATTTATCAATTTATTTACTAATTAACCCATTAGCTAAAATAAATAAATCATTAAGCAATTAACCAGTTAATTCATTAATTCATTCATCAGATGAAATATTTATCAATTCAATACACAAGTATTTATTGAATTAAATGATCAATTCATTAAATAGTATATCATTAAGGTATTTTATTAAAAAATAATTAAATTTAGTTCATTTAAATAATAATTCACAATTATATGATTTTATGATTTTAATATTTGATAAATTCATTTTTCTTTCCAAATATATAGGGAAAAAAACAAAGTTTGTGGCAAATACTCAATTCTTTTATTATGTTTTTCTTTAATTAATCTTTTGTTCAATTTGTTCAATTTGTTCAATTTGCTTCACCCTTCATACATTTCACATTTCACATTTCACATTTATCTATTTAATGTTTTTTATTAACAAACTTCAAAAAATGAATGAGGACAGTTCATGATGATTTTTTTTACCTTTTTTGCCACACTTTCCTCCATAACTTGTTTTACTGCTTTCTTCAGTTCTCGAACCATCCTCTCCTGGAACCATTATTTTTCTAATTACCAAAGATGACATAACCTTTTTTTGACAGAATTTTGACACCTAACTTTATGTGCTTTATGTTAAAAAAATTTCTCCTAGATTTGTCCATTTGTTTTTTAATTTTTAAACCAAAAATATGAAAATGACTAAATATATCGGGTCTAAACCAGTAAAAACTGAAAACTCTGCGAAATCTTATAAATTTGAAATCTAGAAAAAAAAATCGTGACACAATGTACGTGTTATTAAAAAAAAGTTGTGCGCCCCAAAAGCCCATTTTAAAATCAGTTTACAAACGTGTGAAATGTGCTTAGAGTCTGAATTTTAATGAATTCGAGCCACGTCTCAAATTCGCCAAAAACCGGTTTTAAATAAGCGCCGGCTTAAATCTTGAAACATTGAATACAATTTAAAGTGGAACCAACTATATTTGAGCAAAGTTTCAAATTTAAGCAGCGGCTCAAATTCTTCAAATTCGGCCTTAGATTACCGAGATATAGTCTATATGTTTTATATATAGATATTATATACGTACATACAGGGTGAGTCAAAAAAAGTGTGATTTGCGGCGCCTGGTGCAAAAATTGTACATTTTTTGTGCAACTCTCCTGAATGGTGTTTTTTCAATATTTTTTGAAGTTTGTAATTTATTTTGGTACTCCAAAGGCCTCCAAAAAAATCCGCGAACCCTTTTTTCTCTCAAAATCAAAAGTTCAGAAAAACAAAGATGTGTAAATAAATTATTTCTATCGAAATCTAAAAATTTTTAAAATATTGAGTCACAGAATCTTAGAAAATTTGCAAAATTGTAATAAGAAAATTTGCAATTTTCAGTTCTGGTTTAATTTTTACAGAAAAATTATTTATCAATGGTTCTTAAGGTTTCAACTGAACAGCGTATATTTAATACTTTATAAATACCAAGAAGAAAGGAACTAGAGAATTTAAATAAATTTTCCTTAAAAATTAGACCAGAACTAAAAATTGCAAATTTTCTTATTACAATTTTACGAATTTTTTGTGATTCTTTGATTCGATCTTTAAAAAAAATTTAGATTTTGATAGAATTAATTTATATACACATTTTTGCTTTTCTGAACTTTTGATTTTGAGAGAAAAATGGGTTTTCGGATTTTTTTTGGACCATTGAGTACCGAAAAAGTTACAAATTTTCAAAATTTTTTGAAAAAAACACTATACATGAGAGTTGCACAAAAAAGGTACAATTTTGCACCAGGCGTTGCAAATCACACTTTTTTTTATTAACCCTGTATATATAATATATATACATAAGTATTGTTTACCAAAGCATTACCACAAACATATAAGTTTACAAAACAAACACTAAACAACCTGACTCTCTAGGATTCTAATCTACCCAAGAAGCCTGAAAACCTGATTCTCTATGGTTCTAATCTACCCTAAAAACCTGGAAACCTGACTCTCTATGGTTATAATCTACCCTAGAAACCTGGAAACCTGATTCTCTATGGTTCTAATCTACCCTAGAAACCTGGAAACCTGACTCTCTATGGTTCTATTCTACCCTGGAAACCAGGAAATCTAACTCTATTGTTCTAATCCACCCTGGAAATCAGTAAACCATACTCTCTAGGATTCTAATCTATCCTGGAAACCAGGAAATCAAACTCTCTATAGTTCTAATCCATCCTGGAAACCAGGAAACCTGACTCTTCAAGTTTCTAATCAAACCTGGAAACCAGAAAACCTGTCTCTCCTGGATTCTAATCTACCCTGGAAACCAGGAAACCTGACTCTTCTGGTTTCTAATCTACACTGGAAACCAGGAAACCTGACTCTCTAGGGTTCTAATCTACCCTGGAAACCAGGAAACCTGACTCTCTAGGGTTCTAATCTACCCTGGAAACCAGGAAACATGACTCTCTAGGTTTCTAATCTACCCCTCAGCCCAAAACTTAAGACAGGGTATCGGTATAAAAACCAGTTTTGAAACCCGGGTTTCACGAATGGGCAGTTTTGTAGATATTAATACTTTTGCTATGAAATATAATTCTATTTGGTTTCTTCATATTCTCCATTTTTCTCGAATCCCATAAATCAAAATTCACACAAATGTACCTGCACTCTGCAGGCCAATTTCTTATATAAAATACTTAAATTAAAGTCCCTACCTCGAGTTTACCATGCAAAATCGTTCAGAAAAAAAGTACAAATATTATCTTGATTGTATCGCTAATTTTTCTGGATTTTAAAAATCCGTTCCAATCATTTCTATAGTTTAGTATTTAAGATCTAACCTTCTCCTTGGCAAGTTCTTCCCCTGACAGAGCTTCCTTCTTCATCCTGTTTAGGAAATATATAGTTTCAGTTTAGAAAATATATAGTTTTGGTTTAGAAAATAAATAGTTTCAGTTTAGGAAATATATAGTTTCAGTTTAGGAAATAAATAGTTTCAGTATAGGAAATATATAGTTTCAGTTTAGAAAATAAATAGTTTCAGTTTAGGAAATATATAGTTTCAGTTTAGGAAATATATAGTTTCAGTTTAGGAAATATATAGTTTCAGTTTAGGAAATATATAGTTTTGGTTTAGAAAATATAAAGTTTCAGTTTAGAAAATATAAAGTTTCAGTTTAGAAAAAAAATAGTTTCTGTTTAGAAAATAAATAGTTTTAGTTTAGGAAATATATAGTTTCAATTTAGGAAATATATAGTTTCGGTTTAGAGAATATATAGTTTCAGTTTAGGAAATATATAGTTTCGGTTTAGAGAATATATAGTTTCAGTTTAGAAAATATATAGTTTCAGTTTAGAAAATAAATGGTTTCTGTTTAGAAAATAAATAGTTTCAGTTTAGGAAATATATAGTTTCAGTTTAGGAAATATATATTTTCTAGTTTAGAAAATATATAGTTTCAGTTTAGGAAATACATAGTTTCAGTTTAGGAAATATATAGTTTCAGTTTAGGAAATATATTCTACAGTCTTTTCATTTTTTCCAGTTTCTCGGAAATAACAAGACAGGATTGAAATTTATAACCAAATTTAAAATCTAAAAGACCGTTCCAAGGAGCTTTGTAGATCTTATATTTTTAATACATATTAACTTAAAATTATAAAATACTGAGAAAAAAAATTGAATTTTATTTTAGCCTTTAACCACCCATGAGTGTCCACAACAATCGGTCCAGCTGTTTGGCCGGCCATACGCATTACGCAGCATATTTCAGACCAATCGGTCCAGCTGTTTGGCCGGCCATACGCATTACGCAACATATTTCAGACCAATTGGTCCAGCTGTTTGCACAGAGCAAACAAACAGGAGGGGGAGAGTCCTCTTACATATTAAAAAACACTTTTTTCACCTGAAATGAGCATCATCAGGTTGCAAAGATATAGTTTTGAAAATGTTTATAAATATTAAGATGAATGCAAAGTTTTCCAGTTAAAATTAAACCTTAATTGATATGTAATTTCATTAGAAGAAATATGCTAAATTATATTGCTAGAAACTAGGCTAATTAACTGATGATTCATTTTAACGAGAAATAAAACCTGCTTCGCGACGGAACAGAAATTTCTCCAGAAAAAGACAACTGCACTTTTATTCAAAACTATTTACAATTAAGAGGGACTAAGTTTTTTAACTTTATTACTAGATATAAGTGTATACATATTATAATATAATTAATTGATAAAGTAAATTTTTTTTTAACAAATACTTGATTTTATGTTTGCAAATTGATGCGAGTTAACGTGGTTTTTAAAAGCAGTTTTCTGTATAAACAAGATTTGTATTATCTGTTTTTGTTACATATCGTTGTTACATAAATTTTTCTTAAGACTTGAATTTTTATTTTGAAATTTTTTCTTTTCATAATCAATTAGAAACATTATTCATGCCGAGACAATTCGTCAGAAAATATTTCTCTCTTTTTTAAAATCCTCCAAAATATTCTTGATATTGTTCTCCCTTGATCATCTATCTATCTATCTATCTATCTATCTACTTACCTATAATACTATAAACAGCTGGTCCCTGGTTAACCTTCACACAGATCTATTAGACCACCTTCATCTCATAAACCCTGCACCTAGTTTCATCTTTATCTGAGAGTATAGAGTTGGATTGCTTTCTGCTCCAGATGGGTCGGAGAGCAGGGAGAAGATATGGTTTAAAGAGAGTCACTGAATCCGAGAAGAGAGCACTACCCAGGTTCCTTCCTTCTCAACCTCCAGGAGAACAATGGATATGACCAGAGACCGGATTTAAGAGGCCGACATAGGGCCTCGTGTCTACACAGTTGTACACTTTAAAGTAAACACCTCTGAAGATTATACACTGTACACTATAAACCTTGCTCAGTAGCCTTTAGACTGTACACTGTACACCATAAACCTTGCTTAGTAGGCTTTAGACTGTACACTGCACACTTTAAACCTTGCTCAGTAGGCTTTAGACCGTACACTGTACACTATAATCCTTGCTCGGTAGGTTTTAGACTGCATACACTGTACACTTTAAACCTTGCTCTGTAGGCTTTAGACTGTACACTGTACACTATAAACCTTGCTCAGTAGGCTTTAGACTGTACATTGTACACTATAAACCTTGCTCAGTAGGCTTTAGACTGTACACTATAAACCTTTCTCAGTAGGCTTCAGACAGTACACTGTACACTAAAAACTTTGCTCAGTAGGCTTTAGACTGTACACTATAAACCTTTCTCATTAGGCTTTAGACTGCACACTGTACACTGTAAACCTTGCTCTGTAGGCTTTACACTGTACACTATAAACCTTTCTCTGTATGCTTTAGACTGCACACTGTACACTATAAACCTTGCTCTGTAGGCTTTAGACTGTACATTGTACACTATAAACCTTGCTCAGTAGGCTTTAGACTGCACAGTGTACACTGTAAACCTTGATCAGTAGGCTTAGGCTGTACACTGTACACCATAAACCTTGCCTAGTAGGCTTTAGACTGTACACTGCACACTTTAAACCTTGCTCAGTAGGCTTTAGACCGTACACTGTACACTATAAACCCTGCTCAGTAGGCTTTAGACTCCATACACTGTACACTTTAAACCTTGCTCAGTAGGCTTTATACTGTACACTGTACACTATAATCCTTGCTCGGTAGGTTTTAGACTGCATACACTGTACACTTTAAACCTTGCTCTGTAGGCTTTAGACTGTACACTATAAACCTTTCTCAGTAGGCTTTAGACTGTAAACTGCACACTTTAGATCTTGCTCAGTAGGCTTTAGACTGTACACTGTACACTAAAAACCTTGCTCAGTAGGCTTTAGACTTTACACTGTACACTATAAACCTTTCTTAGTAGGCTTCAGACAGTACACTAAAAACTTTGCTCAGTAGGCTTTACACTGTACACTATAAACCTTTCTCAGTAGGCTTTAGACTGTACACTGTACACTATAAACCTTTCTCAGTAGGCTTCAGACAGTACACTGTACACTATCAACCTTGCCCAGTAGGCTATAGACTGTACACTGTACACTAAAAACCTTGCTCTGTAGGCTTTATACTGCACACTATAAACCTTTCTCATTAAGCTTTAGACTGCATACACTGTACACTATAAACCTTGCTCAGTAGGCTTTAGACTGTACACTGTACACTATGAACCTTGCTTTGTAGGCTTTAGATTATACACTGTTCACTATAAATCTTGTTCTCCTTGCTCTTTAGGCTTTAGCCTGTACACTGCTACAGTGTACAATGTGTACATATGTAAGTAATTATGTATGTAAGTAATTATTATTACAATTATTATCATTATTGTAATTATTATTGTAATTATTATTATTAATATGATATTCCGGGTTGCAAAATGTTCTAAATGTGTTATCCAAGATATGCGAAGAAATTAAAAGCCAATAAAACTATTTCATGATTGAATTCATATATCCTTGGCCCACATTAAGTTATATTGCTTTTTACTTAAAAAGTTAATGTTTTCTTCAAATGTGCATTGATAAATGAAAACTTTTTTTATGAATTTAAGTATAGAAATTTATACAAAAAAAGATTGAATGGATTAACAGCAAAATTAGTGAACCTGGAATAAAATAAACTAATTATTCTGAAATTGGTTGGGTTTAAGATTGTAGGAGGGAATTAATTGTAGAGATACTTTTCACATTAAATGTTGGAATGCATTTAAATACATTTACAGGATTAAATATGAAAAGTGGATTGAAAACTGTGTAATTTGATTAGAAATAATGATGTAACACAGGAACGACATTAAACTTAAGTAGATTTCATTTCAGACAGAAATTTTGCATGTGTTCAATTATTTTGTTTTGGTAAAAAAAACTTTTAGTGGATTCCGCCCAAAATGTAAAAATAGTACACTGAAATCAGACAGAACTTGACTTGAACTTTATGTTATAGACAAGGATATATAATAAGTTTGGTTGCTCTCGATGCTCTCCAATGTACGGAAAATGTTGTCTCCTAGGATAGATAGATAAAAACCTCATATGACGTCACTCTAGTATCTATAATCAGTGACGTCATATGAGGGTTTTATCTATCTTTCTTAAAAGACGACATTTTCCGTATCGAGCGTAACCAACCTTATTATAAAACCAAAGTTATGGATTTTGAATGCTTCTCACGCTGCCTATTTGCCTGGTTTTCGATTTTTTTTCTCTTTTTGATTTAATTTAACTCTACAATAGTGACTAGTAAAGACTCCAGCAAGTACTGGATGTATATTCTATAAATCAAATCTATACCTGGATTCAGGACAGGTGTTTTACATAAGAGGGGAGGGGAGGGGGGAGGGTAATATAGATTGAATACAAAAGTCATTCAATACGTTATAACTTTTTCTAATTGAAAAAATGATATATTTCGAAAAATAAAATAATTTCTATGTTAAAATGGTTAAACTGTTTTACATGACTCAGAAAATGTCCATATATCATTGCACATATACTAAATATATATACAAAATTTACACCTTTACTGTTATATTATATACATTTGGGGATTTTGGACAGTTACTTGACTTCGGATAATACATCCAGCTGATTTGGATGTCCAGGTCAGTGAGACTTCACTTACGAATATTCATTTAAATCATTTTTTTCAAGAATTAAATTACTTTGTTACAATTTACCCCCAGGATTCTAGGGGGGGGTAAATAACCCCAATAACCCCCCTTATATCCGCCACTGCAGACAAAGCTTTTAAGGGTATTGTTGTGAATCAGAATATAGTTTATTTCTTTTCTTAATCTTTTAGTTTGGGTGAACGCAATGCAATTTAATGTAATTAAGCAAATTATAAGTATAATATGGGAAAAAAAGGAAAAAAATATGCACAAAAATCTGTATTTATAAATCATACTGTACGTGAATTATATGAACAATAGTCAATTTAATAGGAACATAAAGCAAGTTAAGAACAAAAAAACTACTAGGAAAGTTATATGCATGATAATTAGGAACAATATTACTATTTTGATTAATGAGTGAGGAACATGCATATTCTAAAAATATCGTTTTTACAATGATTCACTGTAAAATAGAAAAATTAGAAATGTTAATAAATTGGTGGGTTAAAAATCATATCTTTATTATTTTATTACATGTAGATATTTTTTTTTACATTTAAAATATTACGTAGGGGCCGGGAAGAGGGATGGGTGATTCTCTAATCCGGCCCCTCCGACCCTCCTTCTTTATTCTTAAGCACAGGGTCTGGGTGTCATACATCATAGTTGACTGTGCACTCGTGCAGTGTGCATAGCTGAAAATTGCAACTTTTGGGACTATTCAGAAAATTTAAAAAGATTGAATCGTTAAAACAATTAATTGTATAAGGCTAATTTGAAAATTATGTGTAAATTTTAGCGTTAAAGCTTGTAGATAATGCAATATGATATATGGAACGCTCAATGTCCGACTACTTTTTAATTTTTATTCACTGACTTAAAGAGAAGAGAATGCACGAAATATTCGAAAAAATCTGCGAAACTCAATTGTTGCCTATTTTAGCGTAAGGAAGCAGGTAAATACTAAGTCCAAATAGATATATTTTCTTAATTTTTAAATGGTTTTAATACAAGGGCGTACACAGGGTGGGGGAAAAGGGGGCAGTGCTATGTAACAGTTTTAAAATCTGAAACTGAAGAGTGAAGAAGAACAAAAAAATATTAGTTTTGCTGTTTTTTCCCCCTAGTTTTGTTTGAATATGGAGAGATAAAGTAATACTTGTAAGGTTATTGGATGTTTACTTTTAAAGAATCAAAGAAGCCAAATGTTTTGAATTTATCGTTCAAATCTTGACCGCCTCTATAGAGCTACAAGGGGGGGGGGTGTCAAAACAAATTTTTTGCGCCCCGCGCATATTTCGCCCCTCCCTAGAATTATTTCTGTATACGCCCTTGTTTCAATATTTATTTTGTGTTTGAACACGGGTGTCCCCCGCGGCCACGAAACATGACAGTTGAGTAGTTATAAATGTCTTCTTCCATAATTGGTTCTTATATTTGTTTGATACCCGAGAGAATTTAATAAAAATATTATATGGCATTCATAAAATGGTAAATGAAAGAATTATTTTATAATTTAATAAATACACTTAATTTTTGAAGTTCATAACGAAGACGATTTAGTTATTTTCGAGAAATCCAACAATGCCGCGTTAGAATTTAACTTGTCTAAAGACGCCGTTAAAATTGGCGGGATCTATCTTCGTATCTTTCTGTATTTAAATCAGTAGAACTTACATTACACTCCACACTCAAACTTAATAATTGCTATAAGATTTTGCGTAAACATGCAGTACACAATGTTTACATCTGATGAGGGGATGTAAGATAAACTCAAGTGTGGTGAAATATTTTTAAAGTTAAATTATTTTCTTCAGATTTAATGGTAACGTATATTTAATTCTGGTGGAAAATGCCCTTTCACGGCGCTATCGTGGTTATAAAGAGGTCAGGGGCAGATGGATCAACATTTCCACTAGTCAACGAAGTAAGTATGAGGGGGGGGTCCAAAAATCGTTCTCTAAGAATAAACCGGCATGTGGCCGCAGCACCCGACCACATCCTGTTTTAGCCCTAGTACCCAATAACTTTTCCAAAATTATTTTTGTGCTTTTAACCGTATTTATAAAGTTTTTCAAATGCAGCAGCTAGTGGCAAAAAGCCCTAATCTTGTGAGAACTATGCTGATTTTGTTATTATTGATCTCATAAAACCATATACATAGAGAGTAAAGTGCAATAAGCAATTTTTATATTTAAATTCTAACATTCGTGTTTTTCTTTGTATATGTGTACGTTTTAAACGTTCACTGTATTTGTATTTTTTCTTAAATAAAAGTTTGTTTAAGAAGTCTTAATACTAGGCTCAGAAATTGTATTTACCTAACCCTAAACAAAACAAATTAAATATCATTATTTTGTTGAAAAATGTTGCTTATTTTTAAATTGATAGGGGGCGGGGGTCCAAAAGCGTTCTCTATGAAAGACCCTGATATTCGACACAACGAAATTTTAACTATTTTGAATTACGCATTCAATCGATAAGTCTATTCATCACGTAGAAAAATGAGTTTTATTTTGACTCCCCTGGTCCTCTCCCCTTCTTTTATTTCTGTATACTTACAGTTACAACCATTATTGTTAAACGTTTAATTGGTATTTAAGTTTCGTTAGTCCAGAGTTGGGGTAAAGGGTTTTTAAGTTTATCAGAATATTTTAGATTTATTGGTTGTGTATTGTAGTGTTTGCAATTTTATGTAGTGAGTTTAATTTTCCAATGTCAAGGAGTGTGTACTGGGTCGAGGTGAGGGATGTGATATTAGAATACAGATCCCTACCGTAAGCAAGGAGCATGCAAAGATCACGGTTGATCTTCAATCTGGAAAGGTGAGTACAGCAAGCTTGATTGTCACCGTGAAAAGCAGTGCCTAGGATCTATTTAATTTTGATCCGGATCCTGGATCCGCACTGGATAAAAATGGATCCGGATCAAGGTAATTTCTTTAAGATTTACTGCATTATTTCATAAAATATAATTTTTAGATTTTTTGTATCATTTTTTGCTCATTTTATGCTAAAATTTGATGAATCATATTTTGAATCCGCATATTTTTGCGGATCCGGATCCAGGCTGTTCCAACGGATCCGGATCCTAAGCACTGGTTAGAAAGGGAACTGTCTGATTTACAACGATTCTCTTAAATATATAGATCGTGAAGCTATACTTGTTATTCGATCTGAAATCCACTTTGTAGCAAATAAATCCTAAAAATGTCAAATGAAAATAGATACTCCTCAATATTAGGTTTGGATAATAGACCATTTTCCTTATTGAATAGTAGTCTAAAATGTATTGAAGCAGTGCTTAGGATCCATTAAGTTTTGATGCGGATCCTGGATCCGCACTAGTTATAAATGGATCCGGATCCAGATCATTTCTCAAAGATTTACCAAATTTTTTTAATAATGCAGAATTTCAAATTTTTTTCGCTTTTTTTGTTGTTGCTAAAACATGATGAACCATTCAGAAATTAGGAAACTTTTAGTGTCCCTCTTTTTTCAATAGTTCAGATTTGGGTTTTTGAGAATAAAAAGTTTTTTTGCAGTATTTAATTGGTATTTTACCCCTTGGATCCGGATTCGTGGATCCGTATATTTTTGCTGATTCGGATCCGGCACGGATCCACGAAGCCAAAATCTTGCGGATCCGGATCTAAAGCACTGGATTGAAGTTTAAAAATTCTCCAAACCATTGAAAATAAATGAATGTAAGTTTTCCTGTTTAGTTTAATTGATAAAGATTTGTTGTCTCATCTTGCGAACAATTCTAGGTATATTTGTATGCGTTAAGTAAGACAAACCAGACCAAGCTGAACTCCAAGAGTATCCAACATGGAGTTCAAACAAGGCTTATGCATGATGACGTTTTCACTATTGGAGACAGACACTTCAGATGGGAATACCCAGGAGGTAAGCAAACATTAATACCAACATAAGTAAATAATAGTATTAAAGAAAATATTGAAATATAAGTATTCTCAACACAGATTTACACGAACTGTCCTTCTGTTCTGAAAATTTTCTTTTCTTTTTTCTTTGGCTAGAATCAAGAGTAAAAACAGCGTTATGAAAGGCTGTGTTTATTTTTTACACTGAATCAAACGATGGGGAAAACATTTTCCGCCTTCTAACGGGAGAAATTGTTGTGATACATCTTAGTTAGCTAAAACGGTTGTAGGCGATTATATCAATAAGGAAGACGACTTGTGTTAATTTTATTTATGTCAAGCTTTTAAGCATCACTAATACACAAAAGCATTAAAATAAAGAGAATCTGTCAATTGAAAAATCTCCTCTTTTAATTACTTCTAATTCGTGATAAGTGTGCCAAGGATTTACTGATTTAACAAAATATATATTAACTTAAGAACTAGGATGATATTATTTATGATAAAATTAATTGAGTGTGAATATTTAAGGTACTATCCTTATGCTAGAGGTCCGTATACCTGAAAGTGTACAGGAGAACAGGGATCCAGAGAACCAAGGAATCAAGGTTCTAACTCCGAGGTAGTATATCTCTAATGTAACACACAATTGCCAAAATGTTGAGATACATAATTGAATTTTTCATTCTAAAATATTTATCCTTCATACAATTATTTCGGCCACTTAAAACTATTGAAAACTATCTATATATACTTCGCTTGTCTTGTTTGTTTGTTTGGATCCAACGTCAAAACTGCTGAACCGATCCGGCCCAAATTTTTTGCGGCGCTGATTTAATAAAAAAATTTGTGGATTTTCTAAATTTTATAGAAATTGAATTTTTTTAAATTTTGATCATTCATAATCCTTACCAGGGGTCATAAGAGGTCCCGCAAATAGTTTGGTCCTGATCGGTTCAGCTGTTTTGGCGTTTATTGGACACACACAAACAGAAAGACAGACAAGCAAAGTATATAGATACTAGCCTTTGAGGGCGGGTTAGTTTTGAAAGTAATTTACCTGGTTTTGTTAAATCATGGGAATTTTTTCTCTGATCAAAGATATTAACTTAAACAATTTTTCTTAGCGGAAACGAAAAACGAATTAACTGATCGTCTAGGTTTGAAGTCAAATTTACATCTAAGATTTCTGTGGAATCTCTTAAAGACACGGGTATAGTCGAATATATTCTTGAAATAAATATAGGATGAAGCCTCCTGGTTCCATGGATGTAAGCTCTGCTGTCAAGAGGTTAAGAGAGGAGGAGAGTACTCCGTCAAGAAAGAAAAGAGTCTCATTTGGGCCATATGTTTCTCCGGAGTATTTTGATAAAGCGCTTCCTCCTTCTACTCCTGTCAGAAAGGTATATACGTTATACTACAGTGGTATACGATTATATCATTAAAATGAAGACGACTTTCGATTTTGATTTAAATCAAGCTGTTAACAGAATGGATACACATTTCACATAAACATATAAGTCAAGCTATCAATTTAAAAAGCTTCTCTTTGAATACTTAAAAACTTATAATTTGAATAAATCTCGGTAACAATCAAAACTTACATAAAAAGTCGTCTTCATTGTATTGTCATAATCGCCTACCACTCTAATATAAAGAACATGTTTTTTTTGAAAAATCAGAAGAACCAAAATCTGTGATTTTATTATTGAAATGGGAAATAATTTATGCTAACTTAAAAAGCTTCAGGAGTGTGACAATCTTTCCCATTTTGTTTATCCTTCCAATATAAAATACTTATTTTTTCTTCCCTCGGTAAAATATATTCCCCTGTAGTTTTGAAAATATATCTTTCTTTTTCATGAAAATTAAAATCGGATTTATTGTTCCTACATTCGTATTTTTTCCTTCAAAATAAAATACTGCGAAATCTAGCGTGGGATTGAATATTAATATATTTATAGGGAGCTGTTCCACCTACGGAGACACCCAAGGCTAAACTTGCTGAATCTGCTAGGAAATTGTTCATTGATTTATCTAATTGTTAAAATCATGTTTTATTAGAAATTAGCTAGAGTACTTGGCGTTGCCCATTTTTATATTATTGATTATAGTCATAGTTACTCCCGCCGTTAACTCCCGCATGGTATTAAATTATGATTATGTGAATAGTACCCATCGTCGCCCGTGTAATTTCAAAAATTACAATATTTTAGTTTGTCATTAAGTGTAATTAATAGAAGCCTACATAAAAAAGAAGAGATTAATTAGTTTAATGTTGTTGCTGCACTGTAGAGATTATTGAAAAATTATTGTACAGGAAGCGTGTAGCTGCTCTGCCAAGACAGGTAGAATAGATTCTCTTTACAAGGGGTTCAACAGAATATTATTAATTTCTCAAAGGGTCTGTCAAAGTATTATCAAGTGAACCTATTTGAATGTCCAAAAGATGACGGTTCTCTTAATAACTTTATTTAAGAAACAATTATCGTTTTTTATTATAGTGTTGGATTCTGTCAACTTGTTTTTTTATTCTAAATCCTCACGTCATTTATAAATAGAAACCATGGTTGTAGACTATTATTTTTACAGATATGGTCTCTTTAAATTACGGTGACAGGGTCAAGTAGTTTCCACTTTTAACCTATTTATGCAGTTCTAATTTCAATTCAAATTTTTGTGAAAATTTGTGTGATAGTAATTTATTAAGGATAACAAACAAAATGAGATGATAATATTAAGTCTTTTACAGAAGGCACTTGTTGTGGGGCGTATACTGAACAAATCATTTGGATTAAGAAAAAGGGAAGAACAAAAATGTCATGGATTTTTATGAAATATGTTAGCGGAAAATCATTCAATATCTTTTCTGAATATATTTTGCAGATGAAAATAATTTTAGTTCTATATTAAAATGTTTATTCTAGGACTCCATAGAGGAGGAAAGCCCCAAGGGTGTTTTAAGGAGGAAAGAAAATGATGATCCTCTAATAAAGGTAAATACTAAATATCTAAACAAGGCCCTTATAAGCAAAGAGATTAGAGTGGAATTTACTAGAAAAAGTGTAAAACGTCCATTTTGTTGTACTGTTTTCATACTGCAGGTGTACTTCACATATTTATGCTATATAACCTTTAGGGGCCTGGAACATCATTTTATAGAAATTAAAAGAAAACCAAATTATGAAATTTAGGCTGGTTTTATAATTGACCAATGATCATTTCACATAGACTATGCCTTTCACCTTACAAACGTTGATTTTCCGTTATAACTATAAATCAAATGAGTTTACTTTTCACCTAATTCATTTAATAAAGTTCATTTAACAGCCTTAAAATATTCGAAATTGAAATGGATAGTAATGTAATGTAATGTATAGTATTCTGCGTTATTAATAGTAGGATAGTGTTTATGTGTCAGTGAGGCCCTGCCAACCGTAATGGTGGTGCGGTTACATTAGAGCTTAACCTTGATTCCTTCGGGATAATTGATGATTATTTTATTTTAATTTTATTTTATTTTATTTTATTTTATTTTATAAGATTTACTTGCAGCGGATTCACACCGACTTGGTTAAATCAAATTTTTTAATAGAGTTAAAAAAGGTTTTTTGTTGTTGAAGGGAAACTAAGTTCAACTAATATTTTACTCTATATTTTATATTTCAGGAGAACTCAGGGTTTAGATCTTCACCTCGTTCCTCTCCAATCCGTTCTCCTAAAGTATCAGGTATACACAAATTAATTAGTTCAGGCAAGGTTTGAAAGTTTTTATAAATCTGGTGCAATCTGGCAGTGTTTCGGATCCGTATCATTTTGATGCGGATCCGGATCCGGATCCTGACTCTGATACGGATCCGGATCCGAGGTAACTTTTGATTCTGTGAATCGGATTTTCCCTATTAAATGTTATGCAAGGTTATAATTTATAAACTATATTTATTATATATTCCGAAATGTAACAAAAGATATAGACTTTTTGGAGTAATCCTTTGGACAGGCCGATCAATCACTTCTTGAAGAGATAGTACATTTACGAACCATTTTGATTTATTTATTCCATGGTTTTGGTTAATTTTTGGCGCTACCCGGATCCATATCAACGTTTCTTGATACGGATCCGGATCCGACCAAATGATACGGATCCGACCGGATCTGCAATCTGGACTCAAGTACGAATTGAGTCTTGTGAAATGGAAATTGTTTTCTGTCAAGGACGACACGACCTTTAAATGAAAAATCAGAACTAAGTTTAAATCGAGAAAATGAGTGCTATACCAAGGTTATACTTTATCAGTATTTGCCAAATTCCCGGCTTAGTAAAAAAATGTTTGAAAATGTATCGATCTGGGTATTAAATGATGCTCTGTTCCGTAAATTCTGTTCCGATGTTTTTTTTTTCTATTTTATTCAATATATATGTAAAAAAATATTTCTTTTTATCTTAAATATCAGTTTTTTTGCCGCTATTTTATTGAATATTAATTCATTTTTACGATTTTAAAATTTATGAAATCAGTGTTTTAAGCAGTGCTTAAGATCCATTCAATTTTGATGCGGATCCGGATCCAGGTCATTTCTATAAGATTAACTGAAAGTTTTTAACAAAACAAAATTTTCAAATTTTTGGTTTTATTTTTTTCGCTTGTTTTTATCCTAAAACTTGATGTACCATTCAGAAATGAGGAAATTTTTATAATCTTTTGTTTTTCAAAAGTTCAGATTTGGGGTTTTGGAGTAAAAAAGATTTTTTTGCAGTTTTTGGTTGATATTTACCCCTTGGATCCGGACCCGGTCCGGATCCAGGAAGCCAAAATCTTGCGGATCCGGATCCTAAGCACTGTTTTTAAGACGAATCTTTAAAACTCATCGATGTTTTAAAAACAAAATTTTTTTTTTCGCTTGCAATAATAAACTTTATAAAAACTGGTTTCCGGTTGGCAATTTCTTTTTTTATAGAAATTTTTAACTAAGATAATATTATTTTAGGTTCATCTGTAACCGTAACCCTCAATAAAACTCCTAAACGTAGTGTTGAGAAGGAAAATACTCCAAGCAAAAAGATGAAGGTGGAGACTCCTAAATCTGCTCAGAAGCATGTTCCACTTGATACACTTGAACTGAAGCACTTGACATCTCTTACTAAAAGTCCCAAACCATCTTCTCCAAAATCAACAACTCCCAAGAAGAAGTCGGCTTTTCCTGTACCCTCGGTTTCGAAGGTATCTCCAAAGCCAACTACTCCCAAGGCCAGAAGTCCTAAAATGGTTATTGCTAAAACTGTGACACCTAAAGTAGGAACCCCCAAGAAGAGCCCCAAGTCCACAAGTCCAAAGCTGGCTGTGTCAAAAACATCTGTTGCAGTTAAAGGTATGAAAATAGACAGAATTGTGAAAAGGAAGTTGGTATCTCCAAAACTTACTCCAATGACAAAGGGAATTAAGCGTAAATCAAGCATCAGCCCCCCAAACAAGATGAAGAAACTTAAGGCTAGTCCTAAAACCCCGCTTATGAAGAAAATTGGAGGAAAGAGTACTAAAAGTTTCTACACCAATTTACCAGAGACTCCAAAGGGTGTTTACAATCTTGCTAAAACTCCAAAGGTCAAGGTTCTTAAGAAGATGGCTCCCAAAACCCCTTTGTTGAACAAATTGGGAGGGAAGAGTACTAAAAGTTTTTATTCAAACCTGCCATCAACACCAGTATATAATCTACCGATGACCCCTGAGTTGACCAATATTCAGGTTCAAAGGCTGAAAGCAGGAGACAAACCCCATTCACCTGGGCAAGTGAGGTCTGGTGGGAAGAGTCGAACTCCAGTTCTTAAAGGAACCAACACTCCACTTAAAAGTCTCAAGGGTGTAAGTAAAACCCCAGTTCCAAAATCAGCTAAGAAACCCGTGAGAGGGCCTCTTTGGTCTGAGATTGCCGCAAGAAATACTGAAGTGAAGCATCCCAAGCCTTTAATCAGAAGAGTTACTACTGGGAAAGTTGTGAAGAGAAATGTCAACGTTTCAAAGACTCCACGAAAGCTGAAGGTAGGAGTAAGCACTCGGCATGCTGAATCGCCGGAAACAATTGTTATCTCCCGGAAAACAGTGAAGACTCCAATTGTTACTAAAAAGGGAAGAAAAACTCCTTTCAAAATGGGAAAAGCTTTTAGAATGGGAATGGATCAGCACCTAGAAGGAGTTTCTGATTTGATGAAGACTCCTAAACCAAAGGCAATGCAAAGGAATTCATTAAACCCCAAGTCAGCCAAGGCAAAAATACCTAAAACTTCAAAGGTTGCAACACCTAAGGTTTCTGGGCTCAAATCCCCAAAGTTTACTACACCTAAAACTCGAAAGGTTTCTACTCCTGAGCCGGCCACTACAAAAACTCCTAAGGTAACCACCCCTAAGACTGCTACACCTAAATCTGCCAGACCTAAAACCTCTGAGATTAGTACTCTGAACACGGCTACCCCTAAAACTGCCACACCCAAAACCCCTAAGGTTTCCACTCCTAAAGCTTCCAACATTACCACTCCCAAGATGGCTACTCCTAAAGCTTTCAAGGTTACCACTCCAAAAACAGCTACTCCTGAAGTTCCCAAGGTTACTACTCCCCAGACGGCAACTCCTAAAGCTCCCAAGGTGTCCACTCCAAAAGCGTCTACTCCTAAGGCTCCCAAGACGGCCACTCCTAAAGCTTTCAAGGTTTCTACTCCAAAAACTGCCACACCCATAACTGTCAAGAATTTCACTCCCAAAACTGCAACACCAAAAACTCCTAAGATGGCTACTCCTAAAACTGCCACATCCAAAACTCCGAAGGTTTCCACTCCTAAGCCGGCTACTCCTAAAACTGCAACACCAAAAACTCCTAAGGTTTCCACTCCTAAGACGGCTACTCCTAAAACTTCAACACCGAAAACTCCAAAGGTTTCCACTCCTAAGATGGCTTCTCCTAAAATTGCTACACCCAAAACTTTCAAAGCTTCAACTTTCAAGGTGGCTACTCCCCAAACTGTCAAATCCAAGGCTTCTACTCCAAAATCAGTCCCTACTATAACCATTACCTTAGCTTCTCCTCTGGTTAAATCTCCCAAAACTCTGAAGAAATCCACTAAGAAAGTAGCGTCTAACAAGACACCAAAATCCACGAAAAAGGGAGTTGTTGCTAGACCACTTTGGTCAGAGGTTTTGAGAAGGAATTTAGGGAAGACTCCCAAGAAGATGGTAAACCTAGAGCCGAAGAGGATCACCAAGAAAACAAAGAAAGTAGCAAAAAGTAAAACCCCTGCAAAATTTCGTAAACCTGTTTCCAGCACTGGCCATGCTGACTCTCCCGAATCCCTGGTAATCGGACGAAAACTTACCAAAACTCCTGTTGTTACGAAGAAGGGGAGAAAATCAGCGGTAAGTTCTAAACAAATTAATTTATTAATTTTCTTTTGTTTATGAAATTCTTGTAGCCGATTTATACTTTCATTTGTTTAGATCCGACCAGGTGGACGTCCTGTTAAGGACACAACCAACTTCGACGGTTTGGCTCAGCTCATGAAGACCCCAGCGTCCAAGAAGACTAAGGCAATTTTTACTCCGAAAACTTCTTCCGTGAAGAAAGCAAAACCATCCACTCCAAAATCAGCCACAAAAACTTCTCCTGCTAAATCAGCAAAGAAGTTGAACCCAGTAAAGACTATTCAAGCTAAGTCTCCTGCAAGAAGTACTCCGACAAAGTCCCCTTCAAAACAAACTCCCTTAGCTACACCCAAGAACAAACAGCTTCAGAGAGTCAAGGCTCTTAAGTCTCCTTCCTCGGCCGGTGGCCGTGGAAGGCGGAGTTCTTTTCGTGCTTCACCGATCCGACCAAGAGAGTCTAAATCTTTATCAGGTACAACACTTCAACCATCATTTATAGTACTTACTTCACCAGGGGTATCGTTTTCAATGTTCTATGGGGAAAAATAAATTGGATTTGAAAAGACAAATATTTTTTAAAACACTTTTAATACTTTTACCTAAAGCTTCACTATTTTCCCCAATTCAAAGAGTAAAATAATATTTGCAATAACACATTTTATAAAAATAAAAAAATTTGTAAAATAACGTTATAATTTTTGCCTTATTTTAAATGTCCGTCTTCCTCAAAAATCGTTATCTCATTCCTCCCAAGTCTTTCTTAAGTATTTGTGTGTTTTAACCCCCCCCCCCTCCTATCAATGTTGTACATGGATCTTACAGAAAGTGTCTTAACTTGACCTAACCCGTGGCCGCAGCGCTCGGCCCCCTAGCCTGTCCTAGCCGCAGCGCTCGGCCCAGAAAGTGTCTTAACCTAACCTAACCCTAAACAATACTAAAGAAATACTAATTTGGTCATGTACAAAATTGATAGGAGGGGGGGGGGGGGTCCAAAAATCGTTCACTAGGACAGACCCTAGTTTTAATCTCACCTAGTAAAGATTTCTGTAAACTAGATTCCATCTGTTCATCAATACTTCTTCTCGAAGATCCAACCTGATTATTATACTTCCATAATAACATTTTAAATCTGCCTTTTGAGTTTTAAACTTCATCAAAAATGAGTTACCTTGGTGAAGGAGTTTTTCAAGGCAGACGACACGGGATCATAATTAGAGGCGGGCATCTCCTTGCTTGACAATCAATAACAAGTAAATCCACGAAAAGTTCTTGGTTAACCGTGCATTTTTATATATTTAACTATTCTGAAATCAAGGACCAGTTCCGAAGACTTATGTGTAAACAAAACTAGAAAATCCGTGAAAACTGATTGTTTATTTTCACAACTTGACAGTGACACTATGGCAACAGATTTAGAAAACAAAAATAGTGAATAGTATTGACGAAGTTGCACCACATGTAATACTAGGGGGCTTTAACCAACAGAGAGAAATACAGTCAGCAGACAAAGCGATATTAATATTTGATGTCACGGCACGACCTTCAAGGTGGTCGGCTGATGATCAGATGACACGGTCCGACTTTCAACTAGATTTGTTCAGCAGACGACCCGGTCCGCCATTGACAAAGCATTACCTGACTCCCCTCTGATCCATGCAGTTGTAACCTTTGTCGTACTGGACCGGATTTTCTCTTTCTCCTCGGGGAGTATTTACCTTTGAAATAGAGTCTTTTATTTCAACCTTTTTTTTCTGGAAATAATTTTTTAAAAATCATTTTGAATTTATTTGCTTTGTAATTTAAATCATTGATCATTTAACATAAATCATTTAACGGTCCAAACTAGATAGAAAATATTTTTCAATAAAAAAATAATTCATAAAACCGCAGGGCTCTAAATATTTCGTCAATGAAAAGTGTACGCTAAATTGTACCGTGTGAACCCGGCCTAAACCATTTTATTCATATTGTAGTGACTGTGAGTTCAATATGGAAATGGGTTTCTCAATGTTTAAGAAAGAAATAACGAATTTAAGAAGCAGTGAAAGGACGAGTAAGTGCATATTATATCGAAAAAGACGAAATTAGAAAAATGTTTTAGAAATTTTACGCGCAAGAACTATTGGGCGTGGCATAGCATGAAAAAGTATACATTTATTTCTCTTAATTTTTTTTATCAAATCCATCTTAGTTTTATATGTATGATTTATTTTAAATGTTTCCTGGGTTCGCTGGTGAGAAGACTAATGAAACTGTGTAACAGAAAACCCATAGTTAATCCTTTTGAATATTCGATGTTTTAAAAAAGCTTGAAAACAAAATTATTACAAAATTAATGTTCCTAAATCTGATATTTAATTTTTTTTTCAGATTGCTAAGCCTGAAAGAATGGCAGGATTCGGCCCTTCCTCCAGGAACACCGTTATACTTTTAAAGTTAATTACAGTTGGCCCCCAAATGCATGCCTAAATTAAATTAGGGGGTCTGGGGTCTGTCCTAGTATACGATTTTTGGACCCCCCCCCCGATTATTATTTATTATTATCTGCTATTTTTAATTTTTCTGCATTTTATACAGGGTTACCCACAAAGTAAGTGACTTGAAATACGACTGTATGGAATTTATTTAGTCCGCATTCTTGCAATTCATGGTTCCTTGTACACTGTACAGGCCAACCCGTGTTTATTTTTGTGCTTTATAATTTATTAAACCATTAATTTAATCAATTGAATGCAAAACAAAATTAGAATTAAGCCTCAAACAGTTATATTATTTAAGGTTTGGCTCGTCTTTACAGTCTCATCCTTTGTGGGTAACCTTGTATGGCGATTGCTCCCCTTTCCTTTCCACTAAAAACTCGTTATTGTGATTGATTGATTGATTGGATTTTTGAACAAATAAGCTTCTTGAATTATTACCGCGTATGCTTGTAACGAGCATTCATCAAAATTTAAAAATTTACTTTTCTCCGAAATTGAAGATTTCTTTAAGTATTGACTTTAAGTAAGTAATAATTCATTCCCACTTAAATAATTTGCTTGTCATTCTTGTTTAGAAATTCTGTTAAACCTTAAACAAACAAACAAACAAATCGAGTTCTGAAATACGAAAATTTTAAATTTTAAGGAAATTGATAAATTGCATAAAATTGGTATTTTTTTGTCATTTTTTTAAAAATCGCCTGCGCCTTAGAGAATGTTCTATTATTTATTATATTGCAGTATTACACATATATAAACCAATCCAAATTGCTGAGAGAAAAAAGAAATATGATGGAAAAAAAATTATGTCGGATTATGAAAAATAAAATTTTTGAGTATTACTAAAGGTGTTGAATAATGTCCAGAAATGTCGCATGAAAACTTGAAAACAAGAAGGTCGGACAGTAAAACAAAATGGTGGACAGTAAAACAAGATGGTGGATTACAACAAAAGATATATAATAACGGTGACCTACAAAGGATCCGGCAGTTGAATATGGAGGAAACTATCAAAATGAAATTGATGAGGATGAAGGAGATTGTGAACGTAATGGAAACCACCGGCGTCGGAATGGGAATAGGTGGTGGAATGGGAATAGGGGGTGGACTGGGAGTAGGTGGTGGAATGGGAATAGGCGGAATGAATAGAGGGATGGACCGTGGTTTGGCAATGGAAAGAGATATGGGAATGGACAGAGGTATGGTCCGACTTTCA